TATGTAATATAAAACAAAACAGTATCATTCCTTTATTGAATAATCAATTTTTAATTACATATTCATTGAAATGAACTTATTCACGTGTTTTCATGCATTTAAATCATTATTGCAGTGTAGGCTATGAATTAAAAACGATGAGCTAAGCACATTATACTTGGTGTTTATATTGAACCTGACTGAATAAAATTTATATATTACTACTTACTTACGCCTGTTACCCCCAATGGAGCATAGGCCGCACACCACTTTTCCCCAACCAACTCTGTCCTATGCTTCCCTCTCGAGTTCTGTCCAATTTTTGTTCATTCTTCTCATGTCTTTCTCTATTTCTCGGCGTAATATGTTCCTTGGCCTTCCTATTTTCCTTTCACCTTGAGGGTCCCAAGTGAGGGCTTGTTTCGGGACGCAGTTAGGTGCATTCCGCAATGTATGTTCTATCCACTTGCACCTCTTTTTATTGATTTCCTACTCTGCTGAAATATGGTTTGTTCTTTCGTACAGTAGATTGTTGCTGATGGTGTCTGGCCAACGAATCCGAAGCATTTTGCGAAGACAACTTTTAATAAACAACTTGTATCTTCTGGATGATGGTTTTGGTAGTTCTCCAAGTTTTCGCTCCATACAGTAGAACTGTCTTCACATTTGTATTGAAAATCCTTGATTTGGTTTTGGTTGAGAATTGTTTGAAGTTTCAGATATTTTTCATCTGTAGAAATGCAGCCCTCGCTTTGCCGATCCGCGCCCTCACATCTGCATCGGATTCACGTTGATTGTTGATGACGCTGCTCAGATATGTAAAGGTGTTAACATCCTCCAAGGCATATCCATCAAGAGTGATTTGGTTGGTGCATGTTATGTTGCATCGGAGAATTCCGCTTTTTCCTTTATGTATGTTGAGACCTACTGCTGCAGAGGCTGCTGCTACACTGGTCGTTTTCGCTTGCATTTGTTGTTGCGTGTGCGGTAGAAGAGCTAGGTCATCGGCGAAGTCGTCCATCTGCACATTATACTTGGTGTTTATACTGAACCTGACGGAATAAAATTTTATGTATTATATATCATATTATATATATATATATATATATTTATTAGCCACATGTTTAGTCATGTAACAACTGAGCAGTAAGTAGTTTCCTACCTTCGTTTTCGGTGATAAGATAAATAGTTACACTGAGTTACATGTAGCTTAGTACATGGTGAAAAAAATCAAATCAAACTACATCATCACAACTTCCAAAGAAACTGTTTTTTAGCAGAAAAAAGACTTTGCTATTTAAAGAACTAGATGCATCCTTTGTAACATGTTCATACTTGAGTACACGACAATGCAGCTATCAGTTTCACTTTGATAATATTAAACTAACTTATTCGAAAACGAAGTGAATTTGACTGAGATGTTCTGATCTTATTGATATTCATTGCAACCGGTTTTAAGTGATAAACTAGGATATCTGAAGTAAGGAGAATGTATGTTACTTTTATCATAGTTTCGAATCACTAATTGGTCTTAGCTAAACCACCATTAAAAACGTGGAAGTACTGGACTGATGTTTCGACGTAGTATGAGAGTTCAACAATGTTGGGTATGAGGCAGTTACACTCAGTTAGCAATGTAAGATTGTCACATAATTGTTAGGTTCGTCACTAGGTATACTTGAAACTATTACGGATTCACTTTAGTCGATAAACGCAAATGAGACCATGAACCAGCGTTCAGGTAGGCTACCCTGATCCAATGGCTAACTGAAAGTCTTGATATAGCGTAAAAAGTATATTCCACAAACACCCAGGAAGCCTAATGCATTCAAGCAAACAAATCCCGTTTATTTATAAATCATAGAAACGTCCTTGGGATAGTCACAAAAATAGCAAACTAAAATACACGGGAATCAATCACAGCCAAAGATTTATCTGGTGGGAAATGAAATTTCAAGGTTAACTGATCAGTCCATGCCCGCAAACATGAAATCCATTTATCATGCGAGATCTGGGGATCGAACGTCTCCAGCAATAATATTGTGAATTAACTAGTTGGGTGTGTGAATCACTGAATTCGAACTCCATTGTTCAAAGTTCAAGTGTACAAATCCAAAATCGACTTCATTACCTTCAATTCCTTTAAATAGGACTAACGATGCACACTACTAAGGAGACGCATACAATGAAGAAACGACTATCCAAAAGTTCCAGACTTTCAATGCTGATCTGTGCAAGAGTAGTTAGGAATGATTAATTCAGCTGATAGAATTCTTCTGTTTCCTGTATACGATCATGTTAAGGATGTCATCAATAACATTTCAATCAGTTCTTATGCTTCTTAGCAATTCTTACGACAAAAATATCAACAAAGATTATATTGTATCTGTATCAATTTTGTGGTTTGCGTAGATCGGTACAGAGTAAATAATGCATGGCAGCCAAACCATAAATGTATTCAAATCATTTCAATAATATCACAACTATATAACATAAACGATTTTTTCAATGTTGTGATAATTGATAATATATAACATAAACTGACAATAATTCCGTCAAAATTCTGATTCATTCATCATTCACTAGTTGCACAGAATACATTGTTCATTACGTCTTAATGTTTGATAAGCCACTTCCTGAAAAAAAAATACTGTTTATATTGTTTCACATGAAATCGTATGTTAACAGTATTAGTCTAGTAAGCATACAGGTTTCATAGAAAGTTAAGTGTAAACTATTGTTACCGATGATCATGTAAAAATAGTTATTTATGTACTTAAACCATTCATATCGTTCGTCAAATAGATGATTACTCCATTTTTATCCTTAATTTAATGTCAAATATAGCTTGGTGATATTTGTGATGTTTGATAAAATGATAACATTCGTCATTTAGTGTTATGGAGATGGTAGTTTTAATTTGAAATTATGAATGAATCATTGTTAGACCACCATTAGAAACCTGCAATCATAGGATAGCCATTTTGTCCTGGTATGGGACGCATCAGCAGAAATGAGCACCTAGGACTCCTGCCAGGACCTTCTGTCTTGCACGTGAATGCCTAACCTTTGGAATCGTACATTGTACTCACTAGTGACTAGCTTCGTGAGGAAATTCTCGGAGTTCTGATGAGAAGAGGAGAACAGTGGAGTTCAACCCTGTAAGGTGTAGGGAGTAACTACTGAAGACAACAAGTAATGTTGCGCGAAATTCCTTAGATTGATTAAAGTTAGACATCAACACCGGGTGGGTGCCTTCTCAATGGTCCATAGGTTGTGCGTTTGCATGCAAAACTAAAGGTCCTAGGTTCTAATCCTATGAGTGCCAAAAGTCGTGAATGCGCGCTTCTACTGATGTCCTATAGAAGGATGAAACGACCGTCCAGTGCTTCCAGATTTCTAATGCTCGTCAAACAATGATCAAAGATAATATAACTCAATGAGACTAAGTTGAAAAAATCACTCACATTTTAAAGCGCTGATCTGTGTCACATGTTCAATTTCCACCATAAAACAACGAAGTTACTTATTCGAATACATCCCAATGACATATGTTGGAACTGTCTATTAGAAGATCGTCGACAATCCACTGTGAGACTGAACAAATGTAAGTAATCTCTGAAAGACAAAACATGTCAGCTGACTAAGTACTAGTAAATATCGTGAATTAATATATCACACAATTAAGGTAATGACCAAGAGACAGTGGAAGAACGTTAGAATATGTACTCTCATGATAGTCAGTCACCGACAATAGATCCATAAGCCCTCTGTTATCTCAAGATGATAGATCCCATGTACACTAATGGTTTGAAAACAGAGTTTAACAGCTGTATCCTTCGTACCTATGAACCCGATTTCGATTTCGTAAACTCAACCACCACCACCTACACAAGACAGCAGTTAGTAGGGCTTCCTCAGCACTAATCATAGACGTGTGGTCATATTGGAGTATTTCGAAGAGGAGGGGAGACTGTCTCTATTCTTCATCGCACCAAGGCACTTGACGTCTAAAAGCAAGGAGTCTCATAAAATAAAGAAACAACTGTCTATTGGTTTATAGCTGTTAGTTAGTTAGTCAGCTGACAACATTCTGAAAAGAAAACTAACTTCACTTATTAATGTAGCTCAGGTCGTCTTTACAAGACTGAGTGAAAATAGTGTCATCGATTATCGAAGATTTCTTTAACTTATACAACACTCCTTTTACAATATCAACAACTCTGCTCACTTTAATTGTATTACATTTGCATTCATCCAAACTAAATCATGTCCAGTTGACTAAACACAATCAAATTCAAACATCAAAACATTGAATTCCGGATAAACTAACAATCTCGGATGGTTTCCTATGTCGTTGCATTCTATAAACAAGTCAAAATCTATCCATATCACTGGTGGGTAGTGTACAGTGTACAATGTCCCAAGAAGTCTGCCTAGCTTTATGTTATCTTAATTGAGATCAATATATGTGGAATCAATATACCAAATGTCATTTATCATTTTGAAATTATAATTTCATTGGTTCGCTGAATCAATTCGTACACAAAAAAAGTTGACTTGTAAGCCAATAATCTTGATCATTGTTCATATTTGGTTTTCATGATCAACTGTGTATATCTGTCTATATATATATCACTAAAGTATAGAAAAACACTCATAAATCATTTATTCTGAATATCAATATGTTTTATACACAGATTGTATTATCAATTAGTCTTGTTGTAATCTGGAACATTCTATCAACAAATGGTAAGATTTTATGTAAAAAACAATTTTTTTATATCATACGTGAAATATTTAACTTTAATTATATAAATAAATCTATGCCGATTGTTATCAAGTCTTTGTGTATCGTTGCTAATTATTACAAATCATAGAAATGTGTTGGTTAGATGAGATTCTATTATTTAGCTGTCGATGACAAGCTTCTTTTACTTTTGAAGTATAGAAAGCTACTGACAGATTGACAGTTTTACAATTTCACACGTGTTGACTTGATTAAAATTGTTCGTGTACAGTAAATAGTCTACTACACATTTTTCAAAACCATGAATCAATCAATGATAGACCACCATCAGAAACTTGGAACCACTGAAAGACGGCCGTTTCGTCCTGGTATGGGACTCATCATCAGTGCGCATCCACCACTCCTGCAGTTCACAGGATTCGAAACCCAGGACCTTGGGTTTTGCGAGCGAACGTCTAACCATCGAACCACTGAGCCGGTATTTAACGGTGTTAATGTCCCATACCAGGACGAAACGGCCGTCCAGTGCTTCCAGTTTTCTAATGGTGGTCTAACGTTGATCGATTTATGGTTTCAAAAATGTGTAACTTCACAATCTTCACAACCCCGTAATTCAAATAGTCTATTGTCTCCTAATCGTACATAAATTTAGTCGGTTTAAATCTATTTGCAAGAAATAAACTTTTTACATTCAAATATATCAATTAACGGTATATATCTAACTAACGACTGTAGTTAACTAAGTTTTATCAAGTTGTGACTGAGGTAGATTTCATGTACAGCTCGCCATTTTAGTGACCCGTGAGCTGACTCCTTTATTTATGACATTCGAGTATGATATGAAATAAATCTCCCCTTCAGTTTCTGTAAATCATACTTAGGCAAACTTTGTTTGTGCAATAGCGGTAGTAAGAAGCCGGATACGGATTCGGTTTGATGATCTCATTTCAAGCAATCGTTCATGCGGACAGACAGAAGAGTACCTAGTTTGAACGCAAAGCGAAGCGAAACAAAGTGGTGAAGGCGGGCGAGCCAATTCAATTTAATGAGGCGTGACTAAGCTTTTATAGTCAGACAAAAATAAGCCAGATATGTAATCAGAGAAGTAAGTAGTGTAAACACATACTGAAATAGAATAACCAAGATAAAATCGAATAGTTGATAAGGATACGAATTTCACACTGATCACCTAAAACCTTAAGGTAATGAAACGATCTTTTTCGGACATTTTGATCGATGGAAATAAAGAGAAACTGCTTACATAATAGACAACCTCATCTTGATCAGTCAGTCTAAATTGAATTTTGTACTTAGTAACATTAAATATATTCCAACTGTCTTGGTTAATCAGCAGTAATCAAAACCTATCGTGTGAGTACTGACTGAATTTAATATTCATCAATGTTCATAGGGATAGTAGTACCAAAAACTGTTTAATTCTAAGTGCTTGGTATCACTTAATAAAAATCTAGGTGTACCTACAAGAAACCACTGCTCTCCTTAGTAGGCTTTGAATCCACAACATTCTGTCTCGTCATTCTATATACTCCATCTGTAGAGAAGGAGAACACAGGTGGGGCAATCGAATTGTATTTAACGAAAATTACAGAGTTACTCGGTAAAATAGGAAAACCATATCGTAAATCGTTCATTTGCATAATATCAGTTCATCATGTCGAACTGGACTGTTCTTGTTGCAAACATCAATCCATTGTCTGACATTTCACTGTTCAGGCGTTTCATACAAATTCCATTGTGTTCCCACTCTTCCTTTCTTGATCTTCCCCCATCATCTGCTGCCAGACATTACATTTTTACTCACGTCATATACTACTTATAAGTAGCGCGCACCACACATCTTCAATGAATTAACATGAATATTACCTAATTCAATTTGACTATGTTAGCTCATGTACGCAGTTTTCAATGTATCCCTTCTGAATAATAAAAAACATCTCTTCTTCTTTGTTCTCAATTTTTTTCCCTAGGTGATTGTATCCCATTGAATCAACCTTGTACAAAAACAATATTTGCACCATGCTGTAATAATACTGTATGTAAATTATCTGGTCCATTCTCCGGGAAATGTGTTGAATGTTTGAAAACATTTGCATGGTGTTGGAATAGTGATGAATGTTGTTCCAAACATTGTAGTTGGTTCCGATGTATAGATGATGAGAGTAGATAAGTCGTCAGCTATGGAATTCATCATTTTTACGTCTATTTTTTTCTCTGCAACATTTTCGTTCATTGTAATAAAAGAATGATTTATAATTATTGATTAACTGATTGATTGATTGATTGACTGATTTTATTGAAATATATACTGAAATTTATACTTGAATTAAAGTGAATGTCTTATTTCTCTGTGTAAATTGTGGTGAACCTTGGGAGCATTGTAGTATTCACTGAACAAACAATGTTTATGCACAATCTTAAAGAAACATTAATCTAGACTTGACTATTCTATACTTAGCAAATGTCATATCAATACAAAACGAACATCTTAACTTTTGAGATGGTGGAGAAAACTTGTAGCTCAGGTGGATGATTGTGGTGGTGTTTCGTTCTCTGAGCTGGTTGTTTTGGTTGTGGAGCTTTCATTATTCTTCTGAACAACATCATCAGCATAAACTTCAGATAGCTGGAGTGAAGCATTTGAATTTCTCCACGTTCGACCTGTAGCTTGTTCTGCTAACCTCGATCTTGATTGGTTGCCGTTGACCTTTGACCTGTCGTTGTTTGCAACTATGTTTTGATTGCCTCCCCCTTTTGACCTGTTTCTTGATCCTGTGTCACCTAGCAGAACAAGCTACAGGTCAAACGTGGAGAAATTCGAATGCTTCACTTCTATCCGAAGTTTGTACTGATGATGTTGTTCAGAAGAACAATGAAAGCTCCACAACCAATACAACCAGCTCAGAGAACGAAACACCACCAGACAATTTAGAAATCCTACTCAGTTGAACACACATGTTGTAGATTCTATCTCTTTCGACTTAAAAATGAATAACGATATGTGGTTAAACCTTAAACTTACTTACGCCTGTTACCCCCAATCGAGCATAGGCCGCCAACCAGTCGTCTCCATTCAACTCTGTCCTGGGCTTCCCTTTCCAGTTCTGTCCAATTTTTGTTCATTCCTCTCATATATTTCTCTATTTCTCGACGTAATGTGTTCCTTGGCCTTCCTCTTTTCCTGTGGCCTTAAGGGTTCCAAGTGACGGCTTGTCTTTTGACGCAGTTGGGTGCTTTTCGCAATGTGTGTCCTATCCACTTCCACCACTTCTTCCTAATTTCCTCCTCCACTGGAATCTGGTTTGTTCTCTCCCACAGTAGGTTGTTGCTGATGGTGTCTGGTCAACGAATCCGAAGTATTTTGCGTAGACAACTAGTAATGAATACTTGAATCTTCTGGATGATGGTTATCGTACTATCTTAAATTGAGGTTTATGGTTACCTCGAAGCAGATTGTACTCGTTAGAGAATAGGTGTTACTTACAATTCGTGTAATTCAGTTAAATAGCCGTAGAATGAAAAGTTTTCATTATAACAAAGTTGTCGTAGCACATTCACGCTTGATGCCATATCAGGGGAGATTTAAATGCCGTCTTCATCACTTCAAACCCCAAGTTTTTATCTACCCAGCCAAACAATTAGCCATCTACAACATTACATGACAGTGAAAAGTTCATATATTTTTCACCAACTTTCGACTATCTTAGCAGCACAAACCAGTCCGATATTTTGATGTCCCCTTTCTTCAAGGAATTATAAGTATAACCTTTAAAAATATATCTTCATGTTTTAGAACTTTAATTTGTAGCTTTTTTCACATTATATACAACTTAGTTTATGACCAAGAGTAAACTAACAGACTAATCTAAACGAGACAGATATCAAAAACCGCAAAGCACTGAATCACCGACTTCTCGTAGTATATGACTCTTTAAGAATGCATATCTACAACCATGTAACCAAGAATCAAGCCCAAGAATCTCTTTTAAGACTGATAACTTTTCAAATCTGTTTAACAGTATTGGTTTACAGCTATAAATTCTAAATATTCACAAACTGACATTTTTATTCAGCAATTTACAATATACCATATGAAAATGATTGGTATTGGGAATGTAATTTTTTTTAATTTTCATTCTATTGAACTATCCCGCATTCAACTAAAATGACTTTCATTTTTCAGATTACAATGAAACGCTTTTTTTTGCTGTTCAATTCGAATGAAATGCGCCCCCATATCGTATTACTTAAAATTACTAAACACTTACAAAACAGTAGACCGCTATTGTTTTTTTTTTGAGTATAGAAAGAAAGCTTTACACATAGTATGTCTCATGTCCATACAAATATATATATATAATGCAGAAGTATACCACGTTTCCCTAATATACAGGAGAAAATAATTTTTCAATCTGTTATAACACATATTTATATAAGCAAGTCCCTAATAACATTTCCACATTGTACAAGAAATTGCTTATCACAGAATATTATGATCAACAATCATTGTTTGGTAATTTTGCTAACTTTAACATTGTATTGGAAGTTAGATGCTTTTAAAGGTAAGTCATGTTGATATTATGAGAATTCCATGATCATTTACTGTCGATCGATACGTCATCCAAGTCTGCATACATATATTTAATGTAAGCAATCATTATTGAACTAAACACTTGCCAACGTAAATAACGTTGGTATATTGATCTGTTCTCTAATCAATGAGATTTCGTGTTTGATTACGAAATCACATCAAGATAAGAGAAAATATACATTGGTTTTACACATTTGAAATAATCAATTATTCAATGTTAGACCACCAACATTAAAAACCTGGAAGCACTGAAAGACCACCGTTTCGTCCTGGTTTGGGACTCATCAGTAGCAGTGGGTATCCACGACTCCTGCACCTCGTAGGATTCCAACCCTGGACAGTCGGTATTGTGCGCGAACGACTAACCTCTAAACCACTGAGCCGGCATCCAACTGTGTTAATGTCTAACTCTGATTGATTTACGGATTTTGCGCAACCTCACCCATTTATCTTTGGTTGTTACTGCCTACACCCAACAGAGTTGAACTCCATTGGTCATGCCTTCTCAACTAGAACTCTGAGAATGTCCTCGCAAAGCTAGTCACAAGTGAGCACTGTTACGATATTTTGGTGCAGAGTTTTTGGAGGTTTGTGTTTTTACACATTTGAAATCTTCAATCAATCATTGTGCTTCCAGGTTTCTAATGATGATCTAACAAACAATGATTGATTGATGATTTCAAATGTGTAAAAACACAAACCTCCAAAACTCTGCCCGAAAAAGAAATTCGGAAAAGTGCATTTACAGTTTGTAGATGTTTGAGAATTACTCTTGCTTGCTTCCAGAAACATTACACTTTGAGATGAGGCTACGTTTATGAACGCGATTTATTACTCTTTTTTAAATCATTATGTGACATGTTTCATAAGTTGTCTCTGTCCAGCAAACTATAGAATTGAGGAGATTATTGAGTTTCATTGAAATCATGAGTCGATCAGTGTTACACAACCATTAGAAACCTTGATGCACTTGAAGGCTGTTTCGTTCTAGTTTGGACCTCATCACACAAGCGCATCCACAAGCCTCACACGGGGGAATCAAACCCAGGAACTTCAGATTCGTGCACGAACGTTTAGCCTGTTGACTAGGAATTCTATTTGTTTGTTTTTGGAACAATAAATGAGTCTATATTATCTAACTGAAATCCCTATTAAAAACTATTGGTTGATCGACCGACAGAAACTTTTAAACAAAAAGAATTACGGGTTTTATAAAAATTAATTACATCTTATCTTCTCTACGTTAAATAGTGAACATGATGATTACTTTTTAACTTCAAGTTAGATTAACAAGACGCGAAATGTAGAAACACAAAAATCTGTCACTTAATCAAAATTTTTATCAAACTACGTTGTAACATGACCATTAGTCTTAATGACATCGAATTTCAAAATACTATGTTTTATGTTGCATGATTCCAATCAATCTGTATGTAGCCGGACTTTTTGCTCTAATAGATAGTTCACAAGATGTGCCAACAATCTTGAAGGAAACTCCACTTTCGCAGAATTCAAACTCACATTAGCAATATTCAAATTTCATGATATTGTTGTTGAGCCAGTTAAGCTAAAAATGACTTGACACTTAAACTAATCCCTTAATTCTGGTCGATTACTTGGCAGTAAGTTTTTTCAACTACTCTCAACATTACTTAATTACTTACTTACTTACGTACTTACTTACTTACTTACTTACTTACTTACTTACTTACTTACTTACTTACTTACTTACTTACTTACTTACTTACTTACTTACTTACTTACTTACTTACTTACTTACTTACTTACTTACTTACTTACTTACTTACTTACTTACTTACTTACTTACTTACTTACTTACTTACTTACTTTACTTACTTACTTACTTACTTACTTACTTACTTACTTACTTACTTACTTACTTACTTACTTACTTACTTACTTACTTACTTACTTACTTACTTACTTACTTACTTACTTACTTACTTACTTACTTACTTACTTACTTACTTACTTACTTACTTACTTACTTACTTACTTACTTACTTACTTACTTACTTACTTACTTACTTACTTACTTACTTACTTACTTACTTACTTACTTACTTACTTACTTACTTACTTACTTACTTACTTACTTACTTACTTACTTACTTACTTACTTACTTACTTACTTACTTACTTACTTACTTACTTACTTACTTACTTACTTACTTACTTACTTACTTACTTACTTACTTACTTACTTACTTACTTACTTACTTACTTACTTACTTACTTACTTACTTACTTACTTACTTACTTACTTACTTACTTACTTACTTACTTACTTACTTACTTACTTACTTACTTACTTACTTACTTCATAAGGGACATCGATTTTTTTTACTGGATCTAATAGTGTGAACTTCACTAATTAATTTAAATCTAAGAAAGTAATTCTATTTGTTAAAAGTGATGTATGCTAACGCAACTAAGCTTACAGATAAGCATATTTCAATTCTAAAAACACAGGGAATTCAGCAATCAATAATTTTTGAAGGACTGTCTAAGGGTATTGAAGACAGCAATTATGTGTTATTCTGCTTCTGTCTTCATTTCCTAAAATATACAACCTCTCTTCTCCCCCAATGTGATTAGTCTGTGAAATGTAGGCCATCATCTAACCTCATCATTTGAATATTGTGACAATCTATTTTGTGGAGTTCAGTAACCAATATCTTTCACCAAACCAACTCCGAACATTATAATCACAGGTGGTATGGTTACACTTGCTGATGACATAATAAACGTGTAAAAAACTGTCAAGTCTACTAAACTATCAGTTAATGAATTGCAAAATAGGTATGAAAAGTTTGATCAGCAAACACTACGGAGCTGCTACAGTCACTACTTGAAATGATTCACTTCACGATGTGTGTTGACATTTATCTTTCTTTCTAAAGTTTGTACCAAAAGCAGACCGGAAAACTGTGACCAATTTACTAAAGCCAAGAGATCTTGGATCAGGTTGCGTAGCTCCTTACTTAGTTTTATCTGGAAAAATGAGTCAGAAAGTAATTTTATTGACAACAGCATTACATGAATGTATCGTTTATTTATTTTTTTAATGATATTTTTCTAACACGAAATGACTCAAAAATTTTTGCTATCAACTTCAATAGTTATCAGGGTCAACCGTTGAGGTTCTGTTGACTGTTTTTATTAATTTTACGAATAAACTGTGTAAATTTGTAGGAAAAACTATTCTATCAAACTACTGAAATATATAAATTTCAAATTTAAAGTGAGCAGCATATGACTCAGAAGTACTTCATTTTAATAAAGAGTTCATTCAACTCATATTGTAAACTGGACGATGTGTTCTCCAATCCAGTAACTCCCTTACATTTCACATTTTTATCATTCTTGTCATTTAATACAGACTCAACAAATCTCTGTAGGCATATTGTTTTACTAAAATACCTGAACAAATAGATAATGCTTACAATTTTCAGTGTTCAATACTGAATTGAAGCTTCATTAAAAGCATAAACACGAATCTAGGTACGTTTATCTGACAAATGTGAAAAGGAAGAACCATAAAAACGATGTTCACAAATAACTTATCATCACAACTTTCTTAAATCAGATATTTTATAGATTAAATTCATGGTACTTCTAGTTTTCTTTTTCGAATGGCAGATTTTTTCAAGATATATGTGCATAAGTCATGCAAAATCCGTAGATCAATCAGAGTTAGATATTAACACCGTTGTGTTCCAGCTCGTTGGTCCAGAGGTTAGGCGTTCGCGCTCAAGACTGAGGGTCCCGGGTTCGAATCCTAAGAGGGACAGAAGTCGCGGATGCGCACTGCTGATGAGTCCCATACCAGAACGAAACGGCCGTCTTTCAGTACTTCCGGATTTCTACTGGTGGTCTAACAGTGATTGATTGATAATCTCATTGTGCGAAAGACACTAATCTCCATAATGTTTATATTACTTTACCATTTAGCGATGAAGTAAATGGTCTAATATTAAGACAGAGACTAAAAGCAGCCATGGAGAAAACATACAACGCTGCTAAACTGATGATCATTGAAAAGACCAAGCCCATGATTTCACATAGACTTAAAAGTTGCTCGAATGATTACATCACATCCCATTGCATTTATCAATTTACATGTTTGTGTGGACACATATACATAGGGAGTGGTAATCGGACTTTGCAATCAAGGGCTATGGAACATGTACTTAAGTGGCTTCAAAACCAGATGAGCCGATCAGCGTGGGAAATAGAAAACCATGTTCATCGATCGCAAAACACATAATTGAGACAGGACATAAGATTGACATCAAAACATTGCATAGAAATGTTGAAGGACGAATTTTGAGGTTTATGCAGGCCTTAGCTATCCGAAAATTAAGAGCCCCCTTATGTGTACAGAAACAATTTGTCATAATAACCTTGAATTTACCCTGGTAATCTTTAAGTCTAGGGTAATGTGACAATTTTCCAATCCTTTCTTATTCTTTTGATATTATGTTAATTTCCTCTCTCTCCTTTATTTACAATTATCACTCTATGTCTATTTGAACTTTTGACCTTTTATTGATCTTCATATAAAATGCCTTGACAAGTATATGTATGTGTGACCAGATTGTTCGAAATGTATAGCGCAAATACAACATCACATTGTTGCAGATCAGCTCTACGTCTTCTCACTGTTCTATCAAAATTTATGAAAAGGAACTAACTGTTTGAATTACTCATTGTTGTAACGTCTACCTGTAGTATAACAGAATAATAAACTTTCATCATTTTAATGGTTATTCAACAGAAAATCTATCGGAAATCAGTGATAACTCTACAATTGTCCAGTCCTACTTTGGGACTTCACAGAATTGTACACTCACTAGCATACACAGAACAAAACCATAGAAATTCAAGTCCAGCGAACAACTTGATACATTCAAGTCATTGTTTCCAAAATGTGATGATCATTCATTTGTTCTATTTTATTCAACTTTTTATTTAAGTTACTATCATCTAACGTCATCAGTAAACTACGATCTTATTCTAATGGTGGTCTAACAATGATTGATTGATGATTTCAAATGTGTAAAAACATAAACCTCCAAAAATCTGCCCCGAAAATATCGTAACAGTGCTCACTAGTGACTAGCTTCGTGAGGAAATTGTCGGAGTTCTAGTGAGAAGACGTGACCAATGGAGTTCAATCGTGTCGGGTGTAGGCGGTAACAACCAAAGACAAATGGGTGAGGTTGCGCAAAATCCGTAAATCAATCAGAGTTAGACATTAACACCGTTGGATGCCGGCCAGCTCAGTGGTCTAATGGTTAGGCGTTCGCTCACAATACCGATTATCCCGGGTCGGAATCCTGCGAGGTACAGGAGTCGTGGATGCCCACTGCCACTGATGATTCCCAAACCAGGAAGAAACGGTGGTCTTTCAGTGCTTTCAGGTTCCTAATGGTGGTCTAACAATGACTGACTGATGATTTCAAATGTATAAAAACAAAAACTTCCAAAAACTATGCCCAAAAATACAATCTTATTGCCAATTTACTAATGCCATCTAAACTGGAATGAAACTATTGATGATTGGGTGCCCTTATGATTTACCACTACTGTCTCCTCTACATTATAATTACTTTTTGATTAAAACGACATTCAATACCTCAGAATTTTGATTAATCTACCAAACAACCATTCACATTTTTGCCTATCTCTATCTTTTTTTTCAACAGGTTCATGTAAAGCTGAAGGAGAAAAATGCAGTAAAACATTATTTTCACCATGTTGTGCAAATACTACATGTCAATTACATGGATTATTTCGAGGAGTATGTGTGAAATGTTTGCCAGAGAAACATTTTTGCCTAAACAGTGGTGAATGTTGTACAAATTCATGTAGTTGGTTTCGATGTGTAGAGACAGATTAGTGTTAAATTGACTCATTAAATTCACCACAGTGCATGAACAAATTGTATACTAGCAAATTGACTAGTAATATACAAAAAAATAAATTTTAGATGCCCATAAAACTATTTTTTTTTTACTAGAGTAAGACTAGTTTAACATTGAGTTGTTATAATAAGTCTGATTAATGAAATTGTAGATTTTCTCCTGATATGCGTATGTATACCATCTAATCATTGTTAATTCATAAAGACACATCATTATATAACAGAAGGATGTTTAAATAAAAGCAGATATCTGTTAGATAATCCACATTGGATAATCTACATTTTCCATCCCATATTTCAAGATTATATCTAGACATTAACACCTTTGGATGCTGGCCCGGTGGTCCAGAGGTTAGGCGTTCGTGCGCACAAGACCGAAGGTGACGGCTTTGAATCCTGCGAGCTAAATGAGTCCTGGATGCGTACTGTTGACGAGTCCGATACCGAGACGAAACGGCCGTCTTTCAGTGCTTCCAGGTTCCTACTAGTGATCTAACAATGATTGATTGATGATTTTAAGTATGTGAAAAACACTAATCTCCATAACTCTAATTGAATATATCTAGACTATTACTGCCCAATATCTAACATCAAAGCATAGCAAACAAAACAAGTAACCAGTACTACGGTATTACGCGTTTGTGAAGATTGTTAAGTTACTCATCTGAAATCATGAGTCGATCGATGTTAGACCACCATTAGAAATCTGGAAGCACTGTATGGCTGTTTCGTTCTCGTATGGGACTCATCAATAGAGCGCATCCACGACTCCTGCACTTCACAGGATTCGAAACCCAAGACCTTGGGTCTCGCGCGCGAACGCCTAGTCTCTAAACCAGTGATTCGGTATCTAATGGTGTAAATGTCTAACTTCGATCAATTCACGGAGTTGCGCAACTTCACACACTGTCTTCGGTAGTTACTGTCAACATCCGAACAGGTTGAACTTCATTGGAATTCGGAGAAAATTCTTGACAGGGCTAGTCATTAGTGAGCACAAATAATTGCATTACGGGGTTGTGAAGCATAACAATGCTTTTTATTTGGTGATCAGTTAACCTGAATGTCAAACGATGATTTTGTATAAGCTGTACTGTCAGCTTAATACACTTTTTTTTATTAATTTTTATTTCAAAAAAGAAGAGTATTTTTAACCATAATTTCCAAAATATTAAATTAATGTCCAAAAGAGGAAAAATGTTCTTTATGTAAGGATATTCATCAAATATCCTGAGAAAATTATTTTTGTAACTCTAATTCTATTGGTCAATTCCCACTGGTCAATATTATGGTCGTCCTGACTATCAATGTCACTTCAAATGTTATTTCCTATCGGTCGTCCTAACTGTTAATGCCATAGACTTCAACGTTGTTTCCCATTCGACCTAAATGTATAAATACGCATTATCTGTAAAGTTTTATGACGTAAGTCCAGGATCCTCATTCTCTTCTGGACTCGGACCTAGTACTTTCGGGATGCTCGTGGAATACATGTTCTACTTCATATCAAGTTTTCTTCCTTTACTCAATGGAGGGGGTTGGAAAAAATGGATTAGAGTAACATGTGGTGCCGCCGGATCCTCGCTCTCGTTTACTGACTAAGGTAAACTCGTAATAGTTTAAGCATATCAAATGACGTGTTTACGTGCATATGTAACATTTTATATGTTTGAAGTTGACATTAGGTTATTTATCAATATGAATTAAACCTCTGTCTAACTTTTCTGTACTTGTCTAACAAAATATATATGATTCTCAGTCTCTTTCAAGTCTCTGCAAAACAAACATCAAATGAGGCATATTTTTAGTCTGATTAGTGTCTGAACTCATACTTGAATGAGTTAAAAAAATCACAGTTGAATTTATTTAAAACCCATTGTGATATACCATACCATGAACAAAGTATCTTATTAACAAGTTACAATTTCATTTCGATTTCTTTTTTCATAATCAAAATTACGATCACCTTATCTAGCTAGGTATGCTGTGTTTTACTTTGATACCATTAAAAAAAGGCCAAACTGAATAATTACAAAAATCATCCTTTTTATTCATCATAGAATGTTTAGACGCAAAATATTTTACATTGAACATAGAGACAACTGAGACAAAACTTGTTTGTTCAACTTTCTGCATAAAAAAAATCGAATCATTTTTGCAACAACACAAAAGAATAAGAAGGTTCATACATTTTTAGATGTATAACCTGATCAGTTTCGTTTTGATTTGTCTGCAACAAAACAACACGTATATACGTAGAGAAGAATATCATTTGTAAATCGATCTTCATCAAGATATACTTTATAAGTTTACAATCAAGATTAAACTGGATTGTATAACTATACATAACAGATAAAATGTACAAATTGATAGTAATAAGATAAGTATACTACTAAATGTTTTCAATAGTTTAACATAAAAAGTAGGTCAAACTGTTAAATAATAATCACAAAAATTTTTGAAAATGTCACTAGAAGTGTATGAGCAAACAGATAATGAGGAATATATATGAACGAAAAACGTATACAAAACGGCTAACAAATACAAGATGAGAAAAGATGAGATTGTTTTAAGCCATATCTGCGACCTACGCTCTGTTGCCGGAAACAGGCGTTAGTAAGTCGGTAAGTAAGTAAGTAAGTAAGTAAGTAAGTAAGTAAGTAAGTAAGGAAGGAAGGAAGGAAGGAAGTTAGTAAGTAAGTAAGTAAGTAAATCTTATCTGACACAGGAATAGACAAGGTTGTTTCAAATTTCTTCTGAGCACATAAACTAGCGTAATAGGTTCAGATCCATCTAGCTTCTGTTTTATGAAGGAAACTGTATAGTAGGTTATTTAGAATTGAAGGAGGTTTACAATGGACCACTCGAAATGATTACTTTTTATCTACCATATAACCACTGTCAACAAAGGGTGTAAATAATCTTTCCATTATTATGTTAGATATATTACTATGAGAAGCTTCATCATTTGTCTCTAAATTCTGTGACTATCGACATAAATTAATGTCAGCTACATACTGACGCGCAGTTGAAGAAGTGATTTTCACAAACAGCTTTTTTGCTATCATTATTTGAAGAACTAACTAAATTTAAGACCATGTTGGGCAATATCTGCAAACATTATAAAAATAGGAAATATACCATGAAATTCCCAATCACTATACACTGTCGCAATGTTTCACGTAAGCTGTGAAAAGATAACACTCAGATCATAAGCAAGCCAGACAAAAGAATATAGCTTCTGAAAAGATTTAAAAAATTAGGCTGTCACTACTCCTACGATTTATAATTCACTAAAACACGCCACAACTCTATGGTTACCCAAAGTTCACAAGTCAAGAATTCGTGTTTGTCTAATTCCAGATATGTGTCTATATAATATAAGCTATCACGTGGTCGGTTCGAAAACCCCAATTCTCTACGCAAATTAGTCATTAACAGGAGTGTTAAATACGTTTAATATTTCATTTCGCGGGTGGAATATATATGTGAATGTATGGGAAAGAGATGATATCTTTCGATGTTTCTTGTATATCATTAACTGAGACAAATTACTATGTGTCAACAACTTTTTCACAAAAGAAATTAATATTGGAATTGTCGAGGCTAATCTCAAAAAAATTCCTTTTAAAATGTATAATGGGCGTTCATTTCGGCTTTAGTAGTTATATATATCGTAGACTAATTGATAGAATAACTTTGGATTCACCTCTAGGTCTCATCGCTTTCTGAGTTTTTTTCTCGTAAAACTAGACGATGAATCTCTTAAAGAGGTTGTTGATTAGTTTAAATTATATTGCCATTACACTGATGATAGATACTTTGATTATCGTTGATTAGAATACTGAAAAAGACGAACTCTTAAAGCAATTTAACAATCAAATTCACGTATAACGAGGAACTTGATAACACATAACATTCCCTTGAAGTTTTCTTAAGCAGATAATCAGATGGTTCTATCAGTAGATATGTGTGTAGTGAAGGTTCATCGACAAGGCGATGTACACATATTTTGAGATTTCTACCCATTCATTTCAAGAAAACCCATTTATATGACTTTCATGTAGAGCTAGAAAGATATGCTCAAACGATACCATAAACAAATAGCTGGAGCTCATTCATAATATGTTCATTGAAATGGTTTATCCATGACGTTTTTAGAAGCAACACTTGCGTACAACGAATAGAAATGCTGTAATATCGACGGTTATCAAGAAATCTCTCTTCTCGAAACAAAAATTCAACAAAGATACTACGTGACTGGCTGAGCAAAGTAATGAAAAGAAAGTTTATGATAGCAAACCGCTGTCTACCGTTTTCTAGACAATATATGGCGATTTCTCAGCTTAAGTCATCTAGTTTTGTCACATTCATGTGTGTCTGCTAATTCAGATGTGTCAATGAAGAAAGCTTTATCACACCTACAAATGGGAAAATGAGCCAACGAGTTAGCTAACACCTCTCTTAGTAGTTGAGAAAATGTATGAACAAAATAATATGTAGCTCCATTTTGTTACATTTGATTGATAACAGTTATGTAACAGGTAGACATACATCATTGCGAGTGATCTGTTGCAAACGTACTACCTTTCTTTATGGACTTTTATTTCGTGTTTTAAACAAAGCAAAAGCTGTAGAGGTTCCAGCGAACAGCCTAAGTCTTTGTGTTCCTAAGAAAACTGCAACACTACTCTCTCCTTTAGCCGTATCAGCCTTCCTAATATTTAGAATCTATTCTTCACTTTCAAATTATGTAAAACCAACATTAACACTGAAGACCATTAACGTAGCAAATTCATCCTAACTTACGCATACCCCGGACGACTTCAAATTTTTCACATTTAATCACATATATCCAAATAAAAAGGTTTAAACTTATTCGAAATTTCCTAAGCGATACATTCATCTATCTACTATTTTCTTCAATGGTGGTCAATTCTTTGTGTAAAAATTTCTTTTGCATCCATTTCATGACTGAAATTCAATCTCAAATGTAAATAACCAAACACTCGTAATGACATTTGAAATCATCAATCAATCATTGTTAGACCACCAGTAGAAACTTGGAAGCACTGGAC